GCGTCACTAAGCTTTCCCAGGTCCTCCAAAGCAGTGTCAGGTTTGGAGTAAAGCCTCTCCAGCTCGTGCAGGCAAGCATTAATACCTGCCATGGTTGCCTCACAAAGCTCCCTATCAATCACCGTGAGGCCAAGGGAATCCTCATCATGGCAACCCACGCCGTTCTCCTTAGCTAACAATCACTCACCATTTTGTGGGAACTGGAATGCGACATCTCTTCCCACGCGGTTAGGCCAAATGGTAATCCGCTCCAAGGCACCTGGGAGGTAGACCGTGTTCCCATCAGATTTGCATAAGATAAGGGTTCCTCGATGGAGCTAACATTGGAGCTAACATTTTCTCTAAAACAAATTGAGTGCGTGTAAAGGTATGTAAGCCACACTGATTTTGTTGCAACGCTCATGGACATCATGAAACTAATTTACAAAGTGCCTAGCTTCCTCGGGTAGTCCGTACCCATCAGCCATGGCGGACATATTGCAATCATCTGGGAGGTGCACCTTGGGTGCAAAGGGGATTTGGATTGATTTGGTGATTTGGTTGATGTCTCACTTTGTCCATGTTGGTGTCATATCCTAAGACAAAGGGCATCGGCATAAGGTTCTTCAAGCCCTTCCTGATTGTCAGGGCTCATGAGAGCTGTGGGTACCATTGACCTTGGAATGAGAGTGCTGCAGAATATTCATAGTAACACCTTTTGGTGGACAAATTTAAGGACAACACTGAACTTCAACCCATTCTTCTTTCTTCTCAATGGCGTACTCAAACGGCTTGGGAACATCCATATCAGCATCATCCTCGGGATGAAGCCCGTCCTGGAGTGCAATTGTTTGACAAACAAAAGGTAGAGCAAGAACCAGGTCCAGTTATTGTTTTTGGAATGTTTTGGTGGTGAGTCATTTTGCCCCTCGTACTTCAATCATCGGAAGATGGAAGACACATGAAGACACATGAAGACACATAATTCCATCACGTACCTCCATACCTCCCTACCCTACCTACTGATTTATATAATCCCACCATCCATCCCATCATCCCATCTAAATTTTAACATCAGTCTATGATCTATTTTTAGTATACGTGCACACCTGTCATCATCATCCGTCACCAGCTTGATATTCAGCATCCTATCATCAGCATCAAACCAGAATCACCAACATCATCCTAAAGCGAAATGTAGACAAACAACAAGGCATATTTTAGGGTCCTCCCCACCATGCTTGCGATGCTTCTGGGCAGGCTTCTTGCTGGATCCTTTGGCTGAAGCAGGCCTTTTGGAGGGCTGGCCGGTCTTGGATCCTCCAAGTCCATTGTCCACATCTGACGCACTGGGAGGAGGGTGATCCCCATCCTCATCCGATTCATCATGGATCGGATCATGAGTGTCATCTGGTACTGGTTTGTTCTTTGCGGCCTTCCCCTTTGACTTGGGCCTCCCCTTGGGTTTGGGTTTAGCTTTTGCTTCAGCATCTGGTGATGAGTCCTCGGACGACCCAACACGACCAGGGAGAGCATGGCCATTGGCTGGTCCTGACAGGGAATGACAAAACACAGGGAACCATTCCCGAAAGAATCCCCGAGGTGTTCCAATCAGCAGTGTTTGTTGCCTTGTCCATCAACACGGCTTGCCCCCGAAGGTGCATCAGGTGTGACTGCGCGAGCCCATACTGCTGAATTAGGTGGAGTTGGGCGGGTGGTTCCATGCGGTGGTGGGCTTGGCAAAGCGTTTGTAGACATCAGCCGCTGTAAGTTGAAAGCCTTGGCTAACGACAGCTTTTGTTGGTGGTTTGACGGGGCCAACAACATTCGTGTATTGGATTTGAAGGTGTAAGGTCAACCAAGGGGCTGGTGGCCGGAATGCAGCTGTAAGCGGCACTTCAGTCACGGAGTCGTCTTCATCCGCCATGGTTCTAATGGCCTACTACTATCTATCTCCGGTCTATATGAGACAAATGACCCTGGCAATGTTGTTTGATAGATGAAAATATAGAATAATTCGATCTCAGTCAGATTGTCCCAATCTGAATTTCCATCAATGAAACACAAAGATCCCTCCAGTTGGCAAAGGAAAGGGAAGGAGAGTGATTGCAAAACAACAACAAGTTGATCTCCATCTATTTTTTGCCCAGGTTGATTGGCCTGTTCGGCAAACTTGTGATCATCAGGAACCAACCCCTCAGCTGTCCATCTTCAACAAACTCTTTTTGGTTGACAACATCCAGACGAGGTAAACATGGAGCATGTAAATAACAACATCCAGACGAGGGATCGTTCCTTAGCAAACCCGAGAAGGCAAGCGACTTGCTTGATCCTACAAACGCAAGAACCAAAAGTAGCACTCAGTGTAAGAGTGCCCCACTTTGAGGCTATGTGCTCCCGGAAGCTGTTTCCTTCAGTGTATTGAAACGAGTCCTTTTCTTCTTGGAAGGTTTACCACCACTACAGAGTTACTGCATCATTGGTCCAGCTTCTCAGTCAGGAAGTGGATATAGCCTCAAACCAAGCAAACCGTCTCATTGTTCACTTCGAGCTGGTGCTTCAGAAGAACCACGGGACGAATGGGCATTATGACTTTGCCCCCCCTTGGAATTCGAAGCTGAGCTATCAATCCTCAGGGCGAATGCTTCTGCCGTACAAATTGAGACTTGTGGGATCACCAAACACCAGCACGCCCTAAAAAGTTTAAAGAAGAAGAGTGGCCTGCATCTCCAGGCCAGGCATAGGTTGTCTGCATCCTTCACACCGGGAATGGAGACATAGGCACCGAACGTCTTCGCTGTAATTGGCGCGGTTTTCTTCGGTTTCTTATTCTCCTTCTTGACTCCATCCTCTGGTGGTTCATCAAGCACGAAAACCAGCGGCTTTGCTGATTTGAAGTTCCCATCAGAGTCTTGCTCGTGGTGACTGAGTTCCATCTTCACCTTTATGGGATGTCAGGATGATTCAGGATGTATGGATTTGGAGGAAGCATTGCCACAAATCCCTTTATTTGGGTTGAGGTCTAATTCTGGTAAGGAACATAATTTAGCACACCCAAGCCTCACCAAGATCCTGCAGGTCACTGATGATGCTTTGCAGTGTGACGGCCGTGTCAGCATTCTCAAAGGCCTGAAGGTGGGTGGGTAGGGACTTCTTCTCGAGGATGATGTAGTCCGACCCAGAGATATCAAAGGAGAACCAACGGCCATCAGGATCTTCTGTTGTCTCGCTCGCCTCCTGAGGTTTCCCAGAAGACAGCCATAGAAGTCCCAGGATGTCCCGGGTTTTAACAAAAAAGCAGAAAATCAAAACATGTTTCCCAAATTCCCACCACGACTCCTTCCCAGAGCGCCATTCACCAGAGCCAAAGCTAAACCTAGGTTGGGAAAATCTTTCATTGGGGAAATTGCTGGTGAAACTAGAT